TCGGTTGAAAAATGTAGGAAATCCGATCCAATATATAAACGTACAGACTCACACACACACACACACACACACACACACACACACACACACACACACACACACACACACACAGTATACATAGATGAAAATATTTTGTGTGTATGTACGTACATGCGTAATTTGCATACAGGGTATTCCCCGTCTCCCACACTCGCGTGTCTCGGTCAACAAAGGAGAGGGCGTGATGCATGTCGCTGGAAGAGCCTATATTTTTCTCTCCCAATCAGCTCCTGTGAGCATTCAGTTTGTTTCTCAAAGTGTTAATAAGTTAATAGCCTTTTTAAGCTTCTTTCACGTGAAATGCAGTAAAATTTTGAATATGTAAGAGGGGGGGGCACCAGAATTTTAGAATTACCAAAGTGGGGCATGGCCCCCAAATCCGTTGGGAACCACTGGTATAGAAGTTCCTTCAAAATAGCCCTGTTCTCTTGGTTAATGCTGCAGACATCAGGGTGTGATTCTGATCGTATGTATTTAGTGTGAAATGTGGGAGCGCTAACTGAGAGACGGATCTCTGGTTAGAAGTTTTTAGTGAAAATTGACTCCCATCTCTGAAGAGCCTAAAACTGAGGATTTATTCCATCTTATTCTTTCACAACATACCAAGATCGAGGAAGCTTTGTCTTTGAATAATTCAGCTCAAACACACGTCTATCTACAACTAGGACTATTTACATTAGTAACAAGGACTATTTACATTAGTGTTGAAACTTGACTAATGCATGGAATAATAATGCAACACAAAATGTACTTAGAACAAAATGTATTGAAACAAGAAAGTGTACACAATATTTACATATAGTCTTTTGTATATTCCTGGTAAGACCGTTCCTGGAGAATGTGTTGACTGAGTCGCAGTCGGGCAGAGTCTCTGGCTGAATCTCTTGATTCCTGTATTTATCTATCCACCCACGAGGATAAAATGTGGCACAAGGCCGGTTTAAAGTGGGTATCTCCGAGCCCGTAGGCTCGGCCAAAAATATGGCCTTTCTGAACCCGCCTAGACGGGTTCAAGGCCTGTCTACCACCCCGGACGAAACCCTGCCTCTTGGCAAAGCCTCGTCCGGGTCCCTCACTGCAAAATGCAGAGAGTTCGACTGAGAGTGAATCTCTTGATTCCTCCCTCTCTTCCCGGTACCAACCATATTTATATGGTCGGTACTCCACTATGCAAATTAAGTGGATCCTACCACAACAATTCGGACTATTCTCCTCATTTTATTGCCATACTAGCAGTAGAGCCCGGCGTTGCCCGGTGATATAACAGTAAGAGATAGATCAAGTATCGACCATCATAAAGACTGAAAAATAAAATTGACAATGGTTATTGTTTAAGGTTGACGGACACGCATGTCTTAATTAGTTTTTTTTTTTACGAATTGGTCAAACCCAAACTCAAACAAAAACATTGTTTTCAATCGTTATGAGTCTACCGATTGAATAGAATTTTATTATAAACAATTGTCTTGTAAATGGAATTTTTAAAGCATTCTGAATGTAAAAATAAAGAAAAAAGTGTGCAAGACAATAAGAAACACTACCTGCCAAAAAAAGTGAAGTTTTGTTGAAATCGGTTGAAAAATGTAGGAAATCCCATATATAAACGAACACACACACACACAAACAATCTGGGTTTTATAATAAGTATAACTCGATATGAGATGTCCCTGTTTCATTCTCGTGATGCCTCTTAATCGTGTTTTCAAATTGATTTCGTGCAAAAACAATTGTTTTTCCAATTTTTGGCGCTGTCAGAACCACCGCAAGGTAATTTTACGTAGTCTTGTGAAGTTTTGTTGAAATCGGTCGAAAAATGTTGGAAATCCGATCCAATATATAAACGTACACACACACACATACACAAACAATCTGTGTTTTATAAGATTTACGACGTTTCGTCCGTTGTACGATCCGGCCTTCTTCAGGTGATATAATTTCGAACGGAACCTTTTATTTAGTCCACAGTGGTAGATTGTTCTAATTCCGCGTGCCATGCCCCCCCTTTTTTTGGATATCTCAATTTCAGTCAATTCCGTTTAGTAACTCAACACTCCAAGTTTTTGTCCCCCTCTGAATAAAGGGTTTGGTTCTAAATTCTGACTTCTATCAGCTGAAGAAGGCCGGAGCGTACAACGGCCGAAACGACGTGAATATGGCAATAAAGATGAGGCGAACAGTCCGAACAATGTAAACAGTGTAAATAGTTACAATCTCAGACTTCTTCCTGCACATCATTCATGCCTCGGCAATGAGTGTTTCTCCTATTATTTTTTATCCGAAAGTTAAAATAGTGGAAAACACTGAATGGATTTCCTTCAGCTCACATATTGATATCAGATATTGGTTTGAAGCACTTGATTTACAATTTGGAATCTGTACAGCTATACTGCAGGGATATCAAGCGAGGGACAGATTTGCGGTACATCATTCGTATCTCATGGATGAAGAATGTAAAATCACCGAAGTTAAGCAACGTCGAGTCTGGTCATTACCTAGATGGGTGACCTCTTGGCGATACCAGATGCTGTAAGATTGGATGTAGTATAATGGACAATGGTCCGGAATTGTTAATTGGAGACAAAGAAAAACAAATGTAGGTTTGTTTTTCTTTTTTTATCATTGGGAATTCACCAACTCATAGTTTAACAAGAAAACGACCTTGTCTCTTACAGGCAAACTCAATATCTATACACAGGTGTACATGTTTTAAACTACAGTCAGACGTCGTAATCCAAGCAATCGTCGTCCTGGGTATGACGTTAAACTCCATCCAACAGCGAGGCCTCTAATCAGGAGGTTTTGAGGAGCGTGGAACCACCTCTTAATTGCTGGTGTTCCCAGGTCCACCCTGACCCGGGGTGGTAGCACCTGTTAAAGTCCCAGCTATGGGCAAATAGTGAACTCCTAGTTTTCCAGATCTTACCCACCTCCTGGGTATGACGATAAATTACATCCGCGTCCTGGGTATGACGGTAAACTCCATCCGCGTCCAGGGTATGGCGATAAACTACGTCCTGGGTATGTCGATAAACTACATCCGCGTCCTGGGTATGGCGATAAACTTCGTCCATCAGCAAGGCCCCAGATAATGTTTCGGAAAAATAATGTTGCCAGCTATGCGTTTTTGAAAAGGTAATGTTGCCAGCTATACGTTTTTGAAAAAAATGATTTTGCCGGCTATACGTTTTAAAAAAAATGATGTTGCCAGCTATACGTTTAATAGTACTATGTATTTAATTTATATATATATATATATATATATATATATATATATATATATATATATATAATTTAATTTGGCATCAAATGACCTACAGTGGTTAATATGCCATAAAACCCACCCAACCAACCAAGCAATCGTTCGTCACTGTTTCCCCCCTTTTATAGGGTTTAACAATGTCTCATTTCAATTCTATGATAATGGCTTTCCTTTTCGTTCGCCATCAGAAGAACTAATACCAAGCCTAGGAGCCATAATGAAAAGCAATAAGTTTCCACAAACAACACAAATAAAAGAGAGTGAATGCACAACGTTCCAATATGGCGTACAACCAAGAACTTATCTACACCGTCTTATGTACAAGGTAAGCCGCATAAACCGAAACAAAATTTATGGAGATTGCGTCGTAACCACGAATCGTAGAAGGTCGGGACTGTCGTAACCCGGAAACTTAGCGCATTAATTTTTAACCAATTAAAGGTTTTTTGTTAATCTAGCAATATTTCTTATTGCTTTAAAGGTTATATTTAATGAGTAAACGTATATAAATGGGTACATGTGTTTCAGTTAGCTTTCTGTAGCTTAATGATAAAACACACTTGGTTTGAAAATTGCTTCCCACATTTAAAAGGGGAATACAGGTTCGATTCCTGTTGAGTGGCACATATATTTTAGTAAGATTGAAGGAGATAAATTTCGCTGTCAAAAAAAAAAAAAAAAATACCCGGATAAAATGGAGATGCCTAAGCAAAGAGTTGGATCCGATAAATACAAGATTTAAAGTAATTACAAATGAAATACATTATTTACATTATTCGGACTATTGTCCTCATCTTTGTCGCCATATTTATTACAACGTTTCAGCACATATGCTAGGCCACAAAAATCTCCTGAGCCGACCAAGCATAGAAATGAATACAATATGGGAACCAGTAATAAGGAGTGCCAGAGAAAAGTGATAATAACAACAAAAATTGCAATATGAGCTCTGGTAAAAACATGTTATAATAACATCAAAAATTGCAATATAAGCACTGGTAAAAAGGTTGCTGAAGACATTAGGCTTATAATATCCAGAAATTCATACACAGATGTCCTCAAGGACACATGGCACAATGGATAAAGGCGTTAGTTAGTTCCAGTGACAGGACCAAAAGAGTGTGAGTTCAATACCTGGTGGAGAGGGGGAATTAATAGGAGATAATTGATAACTGACATCCATTAGACATGGCACGTGGAACTAGAACAGTCTACCCCAGTGAGCGAAATAAAGGGTTAAGTTCGACATTCCAACCGCCTGAAGAAGGCCGGAGAGTACAAAGACCGAAACGTTGTAATAAATAGTCCGAATAATGTAAATAATGTACATAATACCTTATCTCAGGAATATAGTCAGATACTGATGAAATGTTAGATAAATATCCACCGACTGCGATGACATCGAAAGGATTAAATTAAATTGGTTTTTATTTTATGGATCAATTTGTGTGGAAATACAGTTTTGTGTAAATGTGTGTTTGCCTATTTGTGTGTGTGTTGGGCCGATATGTACCGTGTGTAACAGCAAAATTGTCCAAATCGTGTAACAGCAAAATTGTCCAAATCGTGTAACAGCAAAATTGTCCGTTGTACTTTCAGGACGCACAAATTCCTGTATTTTCCTGTCTTTAGTAATTTTAAAACTATTCCCATCGTTATTTGTTCCTGTTCTGTCACCCATTCATATAAACTGATTAAGTAGGTTATTATGGCTCTCCACAGTTTCCACTGATTTGCAAATTTTGATCCTTCATCACCCATCTATCTATCTATCTATCTATCTATCTATCTATCTATAACTTAATTATCTATTTATTTACCTCTCATCTATCTCTCTATCACTTAATTATCTATCTATTAATTATCTATCAATCTGTCAATTTGCTAAAAAATCTATCTATCTATCTATCTATCTATCTATCTATCACTTAATTATCTATTTATTTACATTTTATCTATCTATCACTTAATTATGTATCTATCTATCTATCTATCTATCTATCTCTCATCTATCTCTCTATCACTTAATTATCTATCTATTAATTATCTATCAATCTGTCAATTTGCTAAAAAATTTATCTATCTATCTATCTATCTATCTATCTATCTATCTATCTATCTATCTATCTATCTATGTATCACTTAATTATCTATTTATTTATTTACCTTCTATCTATCTATCTATCTATCTATCTATCTATCTATCACTTATCAATCTCTTATCTATCTATCTATCTATCTATCTCTTAATTAACTATTTATTTATCTACCTCTTATCTATCTATCTATCTATCTATCTATCTATCTATCTATCTTCATGTGATAACGTGGAACGCAGTTACTTAAATGTCTCACAAAATCCATCAGCTACAATAACAACTGCTTTTAGTAGAAGAAACGTAAAAGAATCTAGTTAACCAGGGCCAATGAAAATAAACAGAGAAAACATTCACGGCGTTATTCAAACGCCCGTAGAATAAAGTTGCAGAAGTCTCAATTTTAAGCACCCGTCTTTGGCCATCTTTTCATGTCCCGGCACCCACCTCCACAGCACACTTTTCTTTTTTTCTCTCAAACGACTTTGCTTGATTTCCTTTTCTTGACGTTCTCGATACCACCGTTTTTACATGTCGAAAATACAGCGACTCGATGGATGTGGGTTGGGAACCGTGTAGCTGAACGATTACGAAACTGTTTGACGCTAGAAATTCCACCATTTTAAAGCAAGAGACTCACCAGCTCGTCGGCATCAGGGCTTTAATCCTGGCATACCGGGCATAGTTCCAGAATCAACTTTAGCAACTTTTCCAGCTGCCTGTGTTTGGATCTGTACCGTTGGGAATAATTCTCGTGGCTCGAAGCATTAAACTTTTGCAAATGCTTTTTCACGCCTTTCCCAGAATATGTGTTCATCACACACACACACACACACACACACACACACACACACACACACACACACACACACACACAAAGAGGCGCGATCGCGCACACACAGAGAAGAGAGACGCACACACAGAGAAGAGAGACGCACACAGATAGCCACACGCAGATTGCTCACAGGCACACGCACACAGACATATACGCATAGACAAATGGACATGCAGGCATACAAAGAAAGAATGAAAGAGAGAGAGAGAGAGAGAGAGAGAGACAGAGACAGAGACAGAGAGACAGACAGACGCCCACTTATACCGAGTGTAACAGCAAAATTGTCCAAACCGTGTAAAAGCAAAATTCTCCATTTGATAGATTAAACTTTGAACCGTTGTATCTTAGAAATGATTAAAGATATCTTACTGGAATTCGCCGAGGTTTTTTTTATGGAACTGTTGGATTCTAAGCAGTAAGAATGTATAATTACTCGCCAAGTTTAACAGAAGAATCGTGATGAAACCAATCATGAACGGAAATGACATGCTTATCATTAATTAACCCCAGCTAGAGACCAGAAGCTCATGAAGGAGTGAAATAAAGTTCAAATATACATATATATTATTGCAGAATCATTTTCCGATTTATTCAAGATGATCTTCGCCCTCTCTAACCATCTAACCTTCTATCCTGAAGTAACAAGGTGCCTCACAGGTTTCACGTACGATTTCATTTTCAAGTCTTTTTTCACTGCTGTTTGGACTGTCATTGCTGAAACTCCTCTCTCACGTGCCAAACGCCTTATGGATTGAGAGTTGGACCTTTTCCAACTGATCTCTTTAAAGTGATGATCCCTCTTGCTGTTGTGACCTCCTGATTCAGTTTTCCTCTCTACTGTTCTCTCTTTTATAAACTTATTCACCGTTCCCTTGGTGGTTCTTGAATGGACTTTGATGATGGAAGCTAGAATATGTACCATTACTGAAGGCCTGAATGATCTTTTTCCTCTCACCATTGGTCATTTGGGAAGACAGCGAGACTGACACAAAACATGCTCTCTTTCTAGCTGAATAACTCAAAGGGTTTTTCAGTGATTCTTACGTTAAATGGGATCAAGATGGTTACATGACTTATCTTAAAACCTGGAAAAAAATTCAATTAGTTTATTTTTATTTTTATTTTATTTTTTTAGATATTAGACATTTTTATCGGATGGACAATTATGTTGATTCACGATTTGAACAATGTTGCTTTTACACATGGTACATATCGGCCCAAACACACACAAATAGGGAAACAAACATTTACACAGTAGTGTATTTTCACACAAATACAAAACCTATATTGAGAGTCCTACACATTACGGATACACTCTCTTTCTGTCTGTCTCTCTCTTCACACACACACACACACACATACAAAAACGCTCACGCGCACACAGATACACATAGAGATATATACATGCGCAGAGAGACACATACAGGGACAAATATACACATACATAGTTACATATCTGCACGTATTACTACTACTACTACTATTACTACTACTACTGCTGCTATTATTATTATTATTATTATTATTCCTTAGTTCCTTAATGCCTTAATGCCTTGAGCACGTATGTTACATCTTGCCAACACCTTATAGATCATGGACTATTCCGTTTTTATTGCGAGGAAAGACGGAAAAGACGTATCAGGGACGTTATTTCGTTTCAGTGGAAAAAAGAAAGAAAGAATGAAAGAAAGAAAAAGAAAGAATGAATGAAAAAAGAAAGAATGAAAGAAAGAAAAAGAAAGAAAAAGAAAGGAAGAATGAATGAAAGGAAAAAGAAAGAAAAAGAATGAAAGAAAGAAAGAAAGAAGAATCAAGAAAAAGGAAAAGAAAAACAAAAAAATGATGAAAGAAAGAAAAAGAATGAATGAATGAAAGAAAGAATAAAAAAGAAAAAATGAAAGAAGAAAGAAAGAAAAAGAATGAAAGAAAGAAAGAAAAAAGGAAGAAAAAGAAAAAATGAAAGAAAGAAAATGAAAAAGAAAAAGAAAGGATGAAAGAAAGAAAGAAAAAGAAAGAATAAATGAATGAAATAATGAAAGAAAGAAAGAAAAAGAAAGAAAGAAGAAAGAAGGAAAAGGAAAGAAAGAAAATGAAGACATGCTCACGTGTGTTTAACGTCCGCTTCAATGAAAAAGGACAATAAAAGAACAGAATTCAGGTCGAAAGAATATAGCGGTTGACGTTGCATTTAAATGTTTGAAGATTGCGGGTGACAGTTAAGCAAGAAATCGGAAGAGATTCTCACCGGAGAGAAGTGCGAGAAAAGAAACTATTAGAATAGAACTTACGGTTCCATCTAGCCATCTCTTCAGTAAAACGATGAGAACTAATTGCCAATCTAGTAGTACGCTTAAATTTATGCGGTGGGAATATTTCGTTAAAGTTGTTACGCTCAAATACTTAACAATGCAATAAGCGAGATTCTATTTGCACTTTGTAGTCGTGTAAACCGAAAAGGAACTTATACAATCATTAATTTAAACATTAATATTCACTAGAAAGCAAGACCATGAAATTTTCATGGGGGTTTTGAGTACTTAAAATTATTAATAAATGCCTTATTCTTTGGAAACTAACTTTTTATTTATATAGACATTAGTTTTCTTTGTGAGCTGGCTGTAAAATGTGTGCGCATGCGCACAGCTTAAATGGTGCTATCGTTGCAATCTGCTTTTTTTTTTAAATAAACACAACGTAAAACGTTTATCGCCAAGTTACCCACCGCTTCAGAAATATTTTTATCTCTTCAGTCCTAATGAAGATGAATCAACCACCATATACTTCCACTAAATCATCTCATCTGTCTGCCTGTATGTTACTCTGTGTGAGCCAGTATTTTTGGACCAATCAATGATAAGAAATCCAATAGCATTTTTGGGCCAATCAATGATAAGCAAACCAATAACATTTGGCAGCCAATAAATTATGAGTTAGATTTCAAGTCTCGCGAAATAGTGTTTTTCAACTGAATGTCTTAAATATATTAATCCATATCAATCGATATTAATCCATATTAATCGATATTAACCCATAACCCTGTCATAAATTATACAAGCACTACTTACCTCTACTTTAAAAATATGGATTTTAATTTTTAATTAGTTTTCAGCGTTATTATTTTGTTACTAGTTTTATTCCAACTTAGTGTTATTGCTTTTATCACAACGTTCTGGGTTAGTACACTCTCCATTATTACTACTTAAGTGACCATGAGAGCTACTTTTAAAATAAGTGGAGTTAACTTTTTTTATCAAGTCATCCATAAGTTCTGTCCGAATTTTGAATAAACAAAACAAGTGACCAAATGTTACATTTAATTACAGATTCAATCAACAATGTATTTTTCCTGATTATCTATGACTTCCTTCCATCAATGAACAAGCTTACTAATTCCATTACTGTAAAATTCTTTTGGCTTTGATTCGAAGAACTCACAAATGTCAGTTTTAACCTCTTCCTGTCTTACAAAAGCTGTTTCTTCCAAATGATTCTGTAAGCTACGAAACAAATGGTAGTCTGAAGGAGCAAGATCGGGAGAATAAAGTGGATGAGGAATTTTCTCCCAACCAAGTTCTTCGATCTTTTGTGACGTGATTCTTGCTGTGTAGGGTCGCGCATTGTCCTGATGAAACATCACCTCTTTTCGATTCACTAGAGCAGCTTTTTTTTCCTCAAAACTTGGTTCAAACGCTCTAATTGCTGACAGTATATTTGAGCATTAATTGTTGCATTAGGTAGTAAGAATTCAAAGTGGATTATTCCTTGGCAATCCTACCAGATTGAAAGAAGAACCTTTTGCCCATGAAGTTCCCTTCTCGGCTGTGGCTGGGGTCCTTTCCCTTTACCAAGCTACTGTCTACGACGCTTA